CGGTGAAGAACTTTCGGAGATTTTCGATCAGGGACAAACGAACAGTTACATTTTTATTTATATAGATTATATTTAAAACTTGTTATTTTTCAGTGAATCCAATTATCAATCAGAACCCTCGGCCTAGTCACTAATACACATCACAGTATTTTAATATCTGTATGTGTATGCTTCCCTTATATCCAGATTATGAATATTCTTTGCTAGAGATCCTCTTGTGATTCATATGAGGGTTGGAACTTTAATAGTGGCAACTATTTATTTACAACTGCTAAAAATAGATGCATGTTTCGAAGTCTTACTCTCCTTCATTTTAGTCACCAGCATTGTGTACAACCTGTTGCCAGTGATGTGGAAGTCGTAGGATACCTTTAGCAGAGCCTGTTGTGTTGATAGTTTGAATGGAGCGGTCTACTGAATAAAGAATCTCTGAAACAGTTCTGAAGTGAATGCCACAAAGTGGTTCCTTCATCTTAAGAATAAAGTCGAAGTCACAAGGGCTTAAGTCTGGGGAGTATGATGGATGGTACAGCCCTTCCCAGCCCCATCGATCGAATAAATCAGCCACAGCTTGCGCTGCATGCGGCCGAACATTGTCCTGCAAATTTTCGGTGGGTTCTGCAGAAAGTGTCGCCGCTTCTTTCTCAAAGCGTGTTGCAGGTTGTGTTCCAAAAATTAACATTAATACCGTGCATTGACGATCTGCTGTCAGGGAACGGTATGTGTTAGGATAACACCATCACAGTTGTACACGAAAATCACCATAACTTTCACATTGCTGGGGTTCTGACCAACTTTTGATTTTCGTGGTGGCCTGTAATGATGCCATTCATTCAATTGGCCTTTCAGTTGTGGCTCGTACAATTTGGCCCATGTCTCATCCGGCATAAGAAAGCCTCTCCTTCTTGCTCACAGTGCTCCAAGTGGTTACGAGCAGCGTTGTATCATAGCCATTTCTGCATTTCCGTCAAATCATGCAGAACCCATCGTGATGCTATTTTTCCCAAGCCTAGGTGTTCCTTCAGAATGTGAAGCAAAGTCATATGCACTAATCCCATCTCTCAGGCCAGCTCACGATTCATATGGCATGGATCACTCTCCAGTAACGCGGAAAGAACATACACTTCTTCACTGACACTTGGACGACCTGGCCGATGCTTGTCTGCCACATTTTGGCATCCCTCATTGATAGGCTTTTACCCACCTTGCCACTGTTCTGTAAGGCAATGCAGATTCCCAGCAAGCCTCTTGAAGACCTTGATGACACTGTCATGCTGTATGGCCTCTGGCACATTCAATCTTTATCCAACTCCATTGTACCCATTTTGAAAACATTGTGACACCACTACATTAGACCGCCAGCTAACACGAGGCTCTGTTCTTCTCATCACTGCACATGCGCGTGATGTGGGAAAGGAGAGTCCATTTGCTCTGAGGTAAGGTAGATATGTAACTAACATGTGGTATAAGCAACATTATTATGTTCAATTGCATGGCGCCTCTACAGCAGTGTTGCCACCATTAAAGTTCCAACCATCATATATGGTTAACGTTAGTTTTTTAATATATACCCAGTATATATTGTGATGTGTTTATGACTCCATCAATATCTCTCAATCTCAGTCAGTTACAATAACTCAAAATCAATCTTCAGCCAAACCCTTCTTCCTTGACTCTTGAGGACCCACTCCATTCTCAATCTCGTTCTACAACCGACTTGATTCTGTTCTGTACCACTTATATAGTCTTGAGGTGGACCCATCGAAAACACATCCATTGCCCAGCAACATGCAAACCACATAGACAACACCTCTTCCTCTATTGTTGTAATGGTAATAGAAGTTGACTGGTTTTTGCCTGCGTATTTATTGTCATGGGGAATTGTTGCCCAGCAGTGGGTCTACATGTCCAGTACTGTTACCAATTTATGAATTCCTAAGGTTAAGCTATAATTCTGGAACAATCACAAAGCTATATAGTGGTACTCTGCCAGGTTTGTTGGGAATATGAGGTTCCAATTGCCTTGAAACTACATTGCCTAACAACCCAGAATACTACACCCTTCATAGTCATTGCTGAGGCTTGACTAAATAATGCAATCATTGTTATGTATGTGTATGCTATTAGGGATGGAATTGTGTATGTTGCTTGATATGGATGACAGGAGTAACACATTCATACCTTACATATCTCAGTTGCATTTATTGTGGTCACATTGGGATTGTGGTTGAGTGAAATGTTTATGCAGGCTTATATATTATGTATGTTTGTTGTAAGTGAAATAAATGATGCCCTTCTGGTAACTTTGGCTCTGTATAACACAACCAGCCTGAAATACATTTATAAAAAGGCTGGTAGCATTCACACCATACATATCAGTGGAATCTGGGATTAATTATTGATGATAACTCTTTCGTGGAAACAGCATATTGATTATGTTATTAATAAAATTTCCATTGCATGTTATGCATTGAGAAATATAAAATATTGTCGCGTATCGGGCGTATATCGCGACNTAAACTATTTATGACATTTCAGGGTTACTGTATTTCAGTGGATGTTGAGACACACCCCATCTAGTCAGTGCTACCGCAATAGACTGATAACTGAATCCTATTTTGGCTGATGGACATAGGCACTTGAATTTATGCATGGGCATTGCTATATTATTAGTATGTTGAAGCTATTGAAATGATGTCCTTATGTGATAGAGACAGTTTACCACTTGCAGGTTGGAGATCTTGAAGAATTGAAAGCAATTACTCTAGCTTTTTGTAAAGACAGAAAGACCCCACTGCTGATAGGGTCAGTCAAGTCAAACACAGGACACACTGAAGGGGCATCAGGTCTTTGTGGTGTCATCAAAGTCATCATTGGCATGGAGACTGGCTTCATACCCCCAAATCTCCACTACAGCAACCCCAGAGAGGAAGTTGAGTCACTTATGAATGGACAGCTGAAGGTGAATGTTCATATCAGAGCAGAATGAGTTTAAAAGTTTTTATATTCTGATACTGTCACTTCATTCTTTTAACCATTCCATTGTTATGGATGCAGTGGTAGTGGCATACTCAGGCATGTGCTGTGCTGCATATGTAAGGACATGTGTAACACTGACTATTAGTTTGATTTCATTTCATTTATTCACCTTCCATAAATCCTGTCAAGGGTACATTCTCATGCGGATGTGGAGATCGTCCTAGTTACAGTCACAACTAAGGACTACAGTTGTCATCAAATAGCACACACATTTGTATAAAATACTGATATAAATCTGCAAAGCACTTAACAACATTTACCGCTTGATTCTGTATTCTGTGGCTAACAGATCTATGAATTAGTAATTATACAATTTACTGATCCATTTCTTTACTTAGTTCCCTCATCTACAAATTTTTGCGATTGTGATATATCCAGATATGACCTTACACATCATTAACATACTTGTAAAAACTCCGCTGCTCTTAGTCTGCAAGGGAACTATACCGACTAAGCAACCAACACTTGTTGGCAAAGTTAGTGCTAACTTTTGCAGATATAGTGTCGCGTGGTCAGCACAACAGATTCCCATGGCCTTTAATCTCGGTTTTCTAGACTAAAGCAGCTACTTTTCCATTCATGTAGCTCCTCAGTTATCCTCACTAGGCTGAGTGTTCCCCATTCTAGACCCACTACTTCTCAGAAAATCTGGTAGCGCCGGAATCAAAACTAGGACATCTGGATCTGTAGCCATGAACTCTGATCACTAGACCACAGAGGCAGCCAACACATGCTTGTAATGCTTTGAAATATATTTTTTGCTAGTTAAAGTTATTGGTACAATATTATTAATGTTAGGAAGAGATTCTTAATTCTATATTATGTAGGCTGTTGAGTGTTTGGCTAAGGCTGTAGCCTAATATTCAGGCAGTTCAAGTTGTGATCCTTAGATAAATATATTTGTAGACATTCCTGTTCTGTGCAAGTGCTGTCTGTTCTGCAGAAGCTTAGACATAGGAAGTGCAGAGAATATCAGGCTGTACCATTCCATGTGCTCCCTGTTACAGTGTATCCCCAGACTGCTTCCACTCATTCTCACTTCTGTCATTCCGAGTAGCTGCAATGAGCTCATTACAGCTTCATCGTAGGAAGTACATATCTTTAGCTCAATGGGCAGGCAGAGGCTAAGAAAGTCCATTTTCCACAATAAAGCACAAGTGTTGCTTGTCTTAGGTGGTGACTGAGAAGGTTCCATGGGCTGGCAACCTTGCTGGTGTCAGCTCCCTTGGATTCGGAGGTACAAACACCCACGTCATATTACAGAGGAATCAGAAAGAAAAAGTAAATGGTGGAGCTCCTGCTGATTCAATTCCACGCCTTGTTGTTGCATCTGGACGTACAGAGAAGGCAGTTGATGTCATCCTGAAGGATGTAAGTATGCCTGCTGTCACAGCATCATGTTCTGTATGGCAATATTCTGAAACTTGCTAACCAAAATGTCTGACTACATGGAGCAAAGTCCTTGAGGAGCTAATGCAATGGACAGTCAACTGTCATCATCATTGTCATTCTTTCCCACAATGAGCCAATGCTGTGAGCCCATTGCATCTTTTCTGTAATATGTATCATTGATGATTTGCAATGGTTTCCACTGGACTGTAGATCTTCTTGCCCTTTTCCAGCTTTTGGGGTTTTTTATTTTCAGGTTCCCAGGGCCCAAGCAAACGTTGCTGTATTTTAATGGAGAGATAATCTCTCTTAATTGTCTAGTGGCTAGTAATATGTTCAGTAGACTCTAGAGCTATTAATTTTTACAGGTTATAACTTCACACAGAGTTGTATTCATAAATTATTAATTCAGCGGTATTCTTATAGGTGTCATATTTAATTTCAGATATTAGTGGTAATGCGTTCCTTAGCCTTTCACATTTAATTTTGATTTATTATATTATAAAAAGTAAAGCTATTCCTGAAACAGACCATGGAGGCCCATAAGGTTATGAGACGTTGAGGGTCATACATTATCTAGACAATCGGCTCAAAGATGGCTGTAAGGTTGTCAGCCTTACGCGCCGGCTGCGCTTTACTCCCCAGGAAAATTATTTAATTAATTTCTGGTACTCATTTCTGTTAGAGGCTGAGTATACCCCAGGGCCATAGTGAGGCTGGAAGGATTAGGTCAATTGAAAAAATCCAATGACCTCATCGGGACTTGAACCTGCGACCTTCCGGCTTGTAGCATAGTGCCTCAACCAACTACGCTACCTCATGCCCCCTTATATTATATGTCTTGCATTTAATTCTTTCACTAGAATTTAGTTACTACAGCATTATTTTGTGGGATTGTCAATGCTTGAAGAGACCATGCAATAAATTTCTGTAACAGAAATTACTGGAATGAATACACGGACGAGCTTCTTACAACTAAAACACACTCCCAATATTCCAGTCTGTTGTGCATTCATTAGTCATTGCATAGTAACGCTTTGGACAATGGAAATCCTTCCACTTCTATACTGTCTTATCTGTGTGTCTTTCAAAGTCAAAATCAAATTTGAAGTCAAAGTTATGTTATGACCAACAGTCAGCCAGTCAGTCTGTCTTGGAACAAAGCACTGTTCTGGTGCTTAAGACCAGATCTTTTCTCACTGTCAGGCAGTTGCAGGCTTGTTGATGTGGGGCGCTCTCTCTGACGAGCTGACGGGTCTGTTGTTTGCTAGAGTCATAGTCAGCAGTAATGTCTGTTGTCAGTATGTACAATTTACATTTTACATGTTATTAAATGCATGTTTATACAACATATACAGGACCTTTGTTCGTCAAGGCTCAGTACAGCATATGCTCTATCATTATTAGTTCGTGCTACAACAGCAGTCTAGTCACTTGAGTGGTCGTATACTTGACTGTCTCCAAGTTTAAGCCTTTCCTGTGTCAGTGTGCACCTTGTCCAATGTTGCAAACATTTACATTTTCATGATTTTGTGTGACTTATGCTTGTTGCCTGCTTAATTTTGTTATATAGTCATATATATATATATATATATGGAAGTTTGAAAGCCATGTGCAAATCACGAACTGGTGTGCTCCTTGGAAAATTTTCAGTGGTGCAAAGAACTCTGTTTTGCTGGTGCTGCAATTTCAGTAAATGGTTGTCTGCTGCAAACTCGCAGGTCGGGCTTCACAGAAAGCAGTTCCATTGCCTAACATTAGACGTCTACTGCTGTCACATATTGTAGGCTTTACCTAGCAATGACTGTTTAAACCAGAATGTCTACACAGAAAGTTGTTTGCCAAGCCATTGCTTAGCAACGGATGGTTTCTAGATTGTGTTTGGTGACTATCATGTTGGAGATATATTGTCACTAGGCAGCACACAAACCAGGAGACATCGAAGCTGCCATGATCTGCCCTGATCAGATAGCGCTTGATTCAATGTGGGTGGCTCCACAGTTAATCCTTCATACATATTTCATTATGTTTAAAAATTAAGATTAATGTAAGCCTGTTTTTTGACAGGAAAACCAAAACCATAAATGATACAGAAGCTTGAAGGTCACAAGGGACTCCTGTATCAAGGATAAGCCATACTATGCAGGCAATATTTTTATGCATTAGGAATGGAAGGAGAGTTCGGTGGTTCCTTGGTCTGGTTAGGGCAATTAAAGCAGTGTTATGCATTCCTGGGAGTCTGTCATACAGGGCAGAATATTAAGTGGTGATGAATCAGCTGTGAGTGAATTTGAGCGTGGTTTAGAGACTTCATTAAAGTGAAAATTTAAGTCGTGAGTAAAGATGAATGCTGATAGCACTGGTGTGTTGCCAAAGTGTCTTTCAACAAAGAAATTAGCCTTCAATCTGAACTTTGTGCACCTATGCATAAGTCACGTAAGAAGTGAATCACCTTGTTATGTTGTACTGTTTTTAACAACTCACTTAAAATTGAGCTTTTTATAATCAGTAAAGCAGAAAACCCACATTCCCTTAAAGGACCTGTAAGCAAAAATATACCTGATGAGTATAGTTAGAAGAGAGTATGAAACATATTGCTTGGATGCACCTGTCTGTGTTAGGTGCCATATCTGGGTGTCAAATGTCAGGAATATGTTAAAGCGAACTGTCATATCAATTATTATTAAAGCACCTGTCAATATTGCAACAATATGAAAGACATCTAGAATATGTTTCTCATTAAAAATATAACTTTAATATTTTATGATGTGAAAATCATTAAAATGTCATTATGACACTAAAAGTATTTCTTATACATTAAAAGTGATTATCAAATTGCTAAAATGTCTGTAGTTTTACATATTTTTTTTTTTCAGTTTACAACATGTTTCAGCTGCTCATGGGCTATCATCAGGCAATTTTTCTTTTGTTTTTGGGGAGACCACTGTACTATTCACTTGTCCGCCATGCTCCCATGCATGTCCTTGTTTAGTTTTTATCTCATGTCTAGAATGTCTCATTGCAATGGGCTGCTAAAATGTAATGCCATATT